TAACTCAATTAGGGTACTCCTAAGGCTTAGGAAGAGCCACACTCAAGGGGCCAAAGAGCCGCATGTGGCTCGTGAGCCGCAGTTTGCCGACCACGGCCCTAGTCAGTTTGGCTCAGTGGGTAGAGTGTCGGCCTGTGGACTGAAGGGTCCCAGGTTCGAATCCAGTCAAGGGCACATACTTGGGTTGCAGGCTCAATCCCCAGTAGGGGGCGTGCAGGAGGCAGCCGATCCATGATTCTCTCTCATCATTGATGTTTCTCTCTTCCTCTCCCTCCCTCTCTGAAATCAATAAAAATACATTTTTTTTAAAAAATAGAGAAACAGTCCCCACGCATAGGGTTCCTGAGACGCTGAGAGGAGGTGATGCAGGAGGCCACCAAGGGGAAGGCGCAGCGTGCCCGCGCCCAGCATTTCTAAGGAGACCATCTATTTCTCCTTTGACCAGAGGGGAAGGAGTCGTTATGACGTGATTAGTGGCTTCAGTTGGGTGAAAAGCAGCAGTCATGGGGCCGGCGGTGCGGGCGAGGGGTATTCATTACCCACCGCTCGCCGACAACGGAATTTTGTCAGCGACCCGGCCACTGGTAAGTGGCGGCTTTTGCTGAACGTGAGCAAGTTCTTCTCCGTTAGGGAAACGGGCGGGAGAGGAGAGGTGTCAGCTGACATGCGTGTCCTCACTTTTCTCTGACAAACCAAATTCATTCCTTACGTAATTGATAACGGCCTTGGCCAATTACTTCACACATTACAATACACAGCGGCCCCCTTTGCAGGTTCTGCAGGGCTGTAATTAGCTATGCTAATATCCCCTTTATTGGCCCTAATATTGCTCAACACCTTTTGCCATCCTGGAACCCGCGAGAGCCCCATGGCCTGTCAGGACCACTGATTATTGAGAAGGATGGCTTTAATCAAACATAATTGCAGTTAATTTTTCTCTCCTGCTCTCGGTTGCCAGCGTCTAATGCCACGGACTCCTTGATATTCCATTAAATTACAATTAAACGGCCTCCTTTGTTTCCGAGCGTCCTGACCCACGCCACAAAGTTCTGGAGCGGCGTGCGGGAGCGCCGCTTGGTCCTAATTGCCGGCGCGCTCACAGAGGGCCAATTTGCACAATACCCATGTAGAATTTAAACAGTTCATAACGTAATGGATATTACACAGGAGCCTCACACTACAATTAAAATGATTTTCATCAGATAGAGAGGCTCTGGTTAATCAGCTTCATAAAAGTAAATATAAATGAACTAATTCATGGCTTAAACACACAGAGAGGGAGCCAACTTCGAGGTTAGTTACTGCGGCGGGGGCTCACCCCGCGGGGTGGGGTGGCCGGAGCGGCCCATGTCCGACGCCCCAGCCCATTATCCGGCGTCGGCCCCGGGTTCCGCCATGTAGCGCACCCTCGGCGCGGGCGTTGTCCGAGCGGATTCTGACACGGATGCCACTGGGAGCCCACTTTTAAGTTGCTTCAGCGGGTACAGCTGTGGCCTCAGCGCTGTTGGGAGCAACTGAGTCCCTGTCCCTGCAGAAGGGACGGCAGGCCTGCGACTTTCTAGGTCGAACGGAAGGTCCCAGTTGCTGACCTCAGCGAGCAGAGGCCCCGTGTCCGTGTCCACAGGGTGCTCCTGAGTGAGAGGGACACCCTGAAGCCCGCCCTTCTCAGAACCAATGAGGTCGCCCAGGTGGCATTCTCCCCTCATCCCGAACGCGCAGGAGGAGGAAGCCCGATTCCAGGGGTGGCGACGTCACACCTTCCCCCCTTCTAACCGCGCCGAGGACTTCCCAGGGTGGAGCAGGTCGATTCCGAGCAGAATATTACGGGGGAGTTTGCACTGTGCCTGGCGTGGCCGCCTCCCGCCTGCCTGGGAGAAACAAGTAAATAAAGCCCATATTTCAAGCTTGATTTACTCCGGTACCTACTGTGAAAGATGACGACTCTTTAGGGAAATAAAGACAGGGTCAGGGAATTAGTGTACATAATGGTCATTTTGATGATGGGCCAACAGCTGCAACAGGAAACACACTGTACACAATTAAGCGTAATGTACTAATGACAGGTTAGGATTTTTATCGCCCCGGCCATCGAGCAGCCAGCCCGCGCTGAGCCGTAATAAAGAGTTTATTGGTGTGCACGCCAAAGATTTCCTGACATTGGAAAGATTTTTCCTTTCTTAACAAGAGGATTAAGTCCTTTGTGTCCCGGCCTCTGGAAGGGAGATATGTAAAGTGATGCTCAGATGTTTCTTAGGGAAAAAAGCCCATTCGAGGGTCATTGAGTCAAGAATGACCTCCCCCGTCGGGCCTCCGGTGGCCTCACCCCCTCCCCAAACATCGTCCCAGTGGGTCTCACCGGGCACTTCTAGTCGTGTGTCCATGTGCGCGGACACAACTGGGCCGCCCGCCTCCTGGAGGCTCCGTCGAATCCCCGAGTTCATCGTGACCAAGACGAGGGTGACAAGTCAGCACAGGGCTCCCCTCCTCCCGGCCGAAGCTGCCCCTGTCTGTCCCTGCACATGTTGTCCTGGACTTGGTGTGTGCCCTTGGGACCTGAATTCTTCAAGGGACCCTTCTTCCCCGGGCCACACACTCCAGACCCCTCCCAAGTCCTTACGTCGGGAGGCGCTGGGATAGGAGCCCATCCCAGACAAGTGTATGTGTGAGCGCACCTGCTCCCGAGTCGACCCTGGAGGATACCCAGCCCTGACTCGGTTGGGCTACTTTCTGCACCGGAGGACAGTGGAGGCCCCGCTGGGCCTCATGCTGAGCGAGGCAGCGGCTGGCCAGGCGACCTCCAAGCCTCACGGAGGCTCAGGGGTGAACCGGCGGCTGAAAAGACTTCGAGGAACTGAAGCAGCTCCTGGGGAGGGGGTGTCTTTCCCGGCACAAAGGGCGCTCCCGGAGCTGGAGCCGGCTCCACAGGACGAGCCGCCTCTCCGGCAGGCGCCTGCTCGGGAGATTAGCCGGCTGGTAATGGGCGGCATAATTGCACCGCGCGGCTGTCCCCGAAGTGAAAACCTAATTGCCTGAGAGGACGATAACTTTGTGCCGCCCTCACCTTGTTAGGCCCCTTCTGATGCAGTTCAAGTGCGGAGTGGCCGCAGGTGCGCCCAATTTACCTCGCCGCCGCGCGTGGCGCTTAATTGCGGCGGCTGTTAGGAAAAATTGGTGGGTGGAATTTCAAGTGACTGGCTGTGCTGATGGCAGATGGTGTTCCGAGGCACCGCGAGCTAACGTGGAGGTGAGGTGAGTTAATAAAAGATGTAAATTCCGGCCTGAAATAGCGAGGCCGCGCCATATGTAAGAACGTTTAATTAAGTGGCCACCGCTCTCCCGCCATCCATCGGCGTTTCTCCTGCTGGGACGGAACGGCGCCCGGGGTCCGCTGGGCCCGGAGCGGGGGCGGACCTCGGCCTGTGGAGGCTTCTCATTTTCGGGTGTGACGCGTGTCCACAGAGAACCGTGAGCCTCAGGTTGGTTCAGGGGAGCCATGTGAAACCCTCTAGGAATGCACGTCCTCACGTAGGGCAGGTGGTATTCGGAGAGAAGCTGGAGAAGGTGCTTGTGTCGCCTTGGACGGGATGCTCAGACACCCGCAGCGAGCTCCCCTGGCTGTGGCCTTCTCCAGGTGAGGCCCCAGGGGTGCAGGGACAAGACCCCGCTGTCCCCGGGGTTGGTGTGGCAGCCAGGCTCCCCATGCCTGTCCTGAGAGCCGGAGCATCCGAGTCTGTCACTGAGCTATGTGGAGGGACGGGGAGGACAACATGATGATGTTCCTGTCACAGCAGCTCAACGCGCTGTCAGGACCCGAGTCTTCCTGCCTCTCAGCGCAAGGGCAGGGCTCAGCGAGAGCTAAGGAGCTTGGGCTGGCCCCGGACAGCGCCCGCTTCCCCCGCTCTGTCACTGTCCTATCCAGGGTCGTTGATGACTCCCTTAAAGACACACGTAGACCTTTCACAGACGTCATGGTCACCCCCCAAACAACACCCCCAATCATTCTTTTTCTTAAGAGTTGTACCTATTGTAAGTTTAAAAATGCATCTTGGCCTAGGTCAGTGATGGCGAACCTATGACACGCCTGTCAGAGCTGACACGCAAACTCATTTTTTTGGTTGATTTTTCTTTGTTAAATGGCATTTAAATATCTAAAATAAATATCAAAAATATAAATCTTTGTTTTACTATGGTTGCAAATATCAAAAAATTTCTATATGTGACACGGCACCAGAGTTAAGTTAGGGTTTTTCAAAATGCTGACACACCGAGCTCAAAAGGTTCGCCATCACTGGCCTAGGTCATTATGGCTCCGTTGGTTGGAGTGTCATCCTGTACACGGAAGGTTGTGGGTTCATTTCCTGGTCAGAGCACATACCTAGGGTTGAGGGTTTGGTCCTGGTCAGAGCATATACAGGGAGATGACTGATAGATGCTTTTCTCTCACATCAATGTTTCTCTCTCTCTCTCTCTCTCTCTCTCTCTCTCTCATCAATGATCATGTCCTTGGGTACATTTCAAAAAGCATCTTGAAAAGTGCGTTTATGTAGGTGGTGATGTCTTCTGGGGTTAGGTCTGCCAGAGAGAGTGCGGCAGGCCCAGTGAAATTTGAATTTCAGATACAGAAAGAATAATTTTCCAGGATAGCATACCTCTCCTAAAGACACTGTTGTTTATCCAAAATCCAAGTGTAACTAGGCGTCCTGGGGTTGTATTTGCTGACACTGGCGGTCCCCTCTGGGCTGGATGGGTCCCTAACAGCTCACGGCCGGTGGTGCAAAGATCTAGGTGAGAGATGGCCACCAGTATCAGTCACCGTTGTTCTAATAAAACGCGGAAACCCATCATGTCCAACGGAAATCACTACTTTCGGATGAAGCTCTTCCATGCTGGCCGTCAGCAGGGCAGCCCCCACCACGCCCCGTGCACGAGTGTCTTTCAAAAAGTGTTCGTCTGTTGTCTGATAACCCTAACAATTATCCTTTTTTTTTGTATTTTTGTAGATTCTTTCTAAAGTTTTTCCTCAAGTGCAATCAGAACTGTTTGAAGAATGCAGGCAACCCTCGAGATATGCGGAGATTCCAGGTACACCCTTGTCCTAGACCCGCGGGCCATGGTCCCAACTGCTAAGATGAAGTGTGAATTCTCTGATGCAGAAAACGATTGTTAGTTCTCAAGGGCGTGGGAGTAAACCAAAACCCTCAAGTCAAATGCTTTAAACACAATCAGGCATCAGGCGTCTTCAGGATGCTGGTTGCATTGCGTCCGTCCATCCATCCATCCATCCATCCATGGCCCGTGAGGCACTGCACACATGACCCATGCTTGTGCCCTGATGACCAGGCGAGCTCTAGGGCGGCACCTGGATGTCCAGGCGTCAGTTATCGGAGCTGTAGGTTAAGTTGGGGTCCTGCTTGCATGCGGCCATGGTGAATCTCAGGGGTGTGATTGAAAGGGACTGTTTTAATTTTTTCAGATAGAGTTCTCTTAACGTTAGCATCTAAACCAGCCTGTTTCTCTATTGTACGTGGCTGTTCTTGCTCGAGTGACTGGCATTGGGAGCCCGTGTGGGAGATCTTTTAGGAATCAATTGGTTGGTTGATTTTTCCTGGGGGAGAGGGGTCTACTCAAAACCTGCCCTCCCTGCCTGTGGGATGCTGGCCTCTGCAACCTTTAGCCATTTCCTGGCTCAGCTCCCCTCCCGAGGCCTGGTGTGTCCTTGCCTCCTCAGCTCCTTGCCCGGTTCCTGGACTGCTCCGGGGCCCGGCTGGCTCACCCCCTGATTTGCTTCCAGGACTTCACCCCAAGGAGAGAGGGGGAGAGGTGGTTGCCTTCGGGGGTAAATGATGAGCCAGGCCCCAGTTCTCTTGCCTTTGTGGAGGATTAGGAGGTGACTTCAGGGTGAAGGGTGCTCTGCCTACAGGATGGATTATTTTGCTGATTTTAGTTGTAAAAAATCTTCGGGGCTGGTTCCCACACACCCTGCCGCTGGTCCCTGGACCAATCAGAGAAGAATTTGGCAGTGACTACAAATGTCCACTAGATCGGATGAGTTCACCATCCAATTGCTCACAGTGTTTTTGGGAATTTAGCTGATGCTTTAGCATTTTAGCAAAACGGGAAATCTGTCCGTACAGCCCACTAGCCCCGTGGTCGGCAAACCGCGGCTCGTGAGCCACATGCGGCTCTTTGGCCCCTTGAGTGTGGCTGTTCCACAAAATACCACGTGCGGGCGCGCACGTACAGTGCGATTGAAACTTTGTGGCCCGTGCGCAGAAGTTGGTATTTTGTGGAAGAGCCACACTCAAGGGGCCAAAGAGCCGCATGTGGCTCTCGAGCCGCGGTTTGCCGAGCCGCAGTTTGCCGACCACTGCACCAGCCAATCAGAGACGGGAGCTTGGGCTCGCCCAGTCAGGCCCTAGAGCTGGGACAGTGTCTCTTGCCAACAGTGGGGCCCGCCTCCATCTGTCTCGCCCAGGGCCCCGCAGGTGCTGGGGATCCCTCTGAGCGGAGTGGAGCTCACCCTGAGCCAGCAGCGGCCACGCAGCCTCCGTCCCAGGTGCAGCCCGCGCTGCAGGGGAGACTTCCTCTGTCTCTCCGGCTAATCTCCCCGCCTTGTGGGGGGTTTCACTGGACTTACCAGTGGGTCAGGCTCACGCAGTGTTTCCGCCCGGTCTCACCACCTCGGCCCCTTCCTGTAGGACCGCGGGCTGGGCCCAGGCCGAGAAGCGAACCCCTGCTTGTCAGTGCTCTTTGCCGAACGGCAGGCACTCCTCCCGCGGTGACGGACCTGTATGTGGCTGACAGCAGGACGGTGCCCTTCGATTGATTTTTACGTTTCTTGTTTCTTTCACATGCCAGGTCTAGTCACTTTAAAAGGGTCCAGTCTGTGTCTCAGTGTTGGTTGTGGGTCTTTGCATCCTCCTCCGGTGGTGTGTGGGGGCGGGGCCTGGCAGACAGGCCGAGGAGGTGGCACAGACTCCTCTCTACCCGGGCCGTGCAGGGCGCTGCCCTCTGGGCAGCAGAGAAGACGCTGAGAGATCTGACCCTGGGCCTGGGGACACTGATGGTGGGTGGCACCTTTCAAGGCTCAGAGGGGCCTGATATTGGGGAGACTCCCACAGTCTTGGTGATGCCCACCGGGGAGGGAATTGTCAGGGAGGGCGCCCCAGGGAGGGAGCTTTGGGGGTACAGTGCTCCCTGCCCCGCTTCAGTCTTCTTGTGGGGCCTGAGAGTTTTATAAAAGCTGTTACTAACCATGCATTCATGTATAGGTATGTAGCTTTGGCCTTTTTTTAACCCTCAAACATGATTTTTTAAAATCAGTTTTTCCCTAATAGTTTTTTAAAGAGCAGTTTTAGGCTTATAGGAAATTTCACAAGAGTACGGAGAATTTCCATATGCCCACCCCTAGGCACCCCTCCCTCAGTTTCCCTGATTAGGAAGGTCTTGCCTTGTGTGGTACGTTTGCTACGTCAGAGGAACCGATGTTGATACGTTGCATTGACTAAGGGTCACTGTAGCTTCGGCTTCTCACGGTCATTTACGGGGCGTGTTCTGATGTGTGCAGACCGATGGGGAAGGTGGACATGGACATGAGCCCCTCTGGTCCCTGCTCACCTGCTCAAGCCCAGAGTTTCTGTGGGGTGTGGTTCTCCAGGTGGTTCTAGCCCCCAGCGCTGCCCACATGTGGCAAAGAGCCAGGCTCCTTGCCCCCCAAATCCAGGCTCAGCCCTAGGAGCCCTGCTGCGAGGCCTCATCCCCAGACTGCACCTGGGCCCGCCTTTGCCGCCCCAGCTGCTCTGGAAATAATGTACCACACAGACCCACCTCTGGGATGCTGGTCACAGGTCACCTGGGAAGGCTCTCTGGTTCCCCACCTCCTCCTGCAAGAGTTCCTTCTTCACTTCCTCTGAGAGTAAGAGGCCCTTCCCTGTCTCCCCCTGGCCACCCTCTGACCTGGATTTAAGATGGGAGTCTCTCACCCCAACAAGAGGGCATTGCTGGGCAGGCCGGGTCTTGGCCATCGTGGCCATGTACTTGAGAAGGATACTTACCCTGGGCTGAGAACACGCTCACTATTCCTATTCAACTCGGCCTTTTCAGATGCAAACACGCTCACTACCAGACGGTCCCCTGTGATTGTGAAACTGACCCCAGCGTTCGCTGGGAGGACGCGGGCAGTAGGACCGCTCCTGATTTATGAAGCCTTTTTTGGCAACTGAACCCTCAGCACTCTTCAAGGAGGACTGTCTCAAGTGAACTAATTTTAATTAGATAAACTCTCCAATCAATATGTGAACAGATCAATCAAAACAGCAGCTTTAAAATGAGTGGCCAGAGGGGTGTTTCTGAAGCTAATGGCTAGAAGAATATTTCTCTGAATTGAATGCACTTGTTAGCATAATAGGAGATTAAACTGTAATTAGGGTAGCAGGTTTTCAAGAGCTTCAATCCCGAGTCAAAACAAAACCAAACAAAACCAAACCACCCACCCACCCCCGTGAGCCAAAGAACGCTGTGACGCCCTCAGCCTGGAGACGCTCCTGGCACCAGCCTGGGCTGAGGGCTCCGCTCCCTGAAGGGGGCAGCGCTCTCCTCACGGCTCCGGTTTCAAATCTACTTCGTCTTCGCAGGTTGTTGTGTCGACCACAGTCAACGTGGACGGCCACGTGCTGGCCGTGTCCGACAACATGTTTGTGCACAACAACTCCAAACACGGGCGGCGGGCGCGCCGCCTCGACCCGTCAGAAGGTACGGCCCCTTCTTATCTGGAAAATGGTAGGCACATGTTACATGTCTCTTTTTATTTGCAATGCTTCTTTTTCTTTGCACCATCCTTTATGTTGATTCATGTTGAGTTACTGTCCCCACCCACCACCCCTTGCTGGTCAGGCCTACCCCCTCATGCCCGGCCGGGCCTGGTGTGACCCAGAGTGGCCCGGCCCCTCCATCCTTGCCCTTAAAGAGGGGCAGCCTCTCCAGTCCCCTCACCCACCATGGCCTTCACTGTATTGGTTTGTTTCTAAGCTTTCTTTTGCTTAGAGTTTTCCTTGGAGTTTTAATTTGTTTGGTTTTATTTTGGCTTGTCCTAAGCCCCCATCTGGAAGGTCATCCCCACAGACTTGGTGCATGTTTTGGTGGGTGGTTACATCCTGGCCCCATCAGCCCAGGATGGAGTCCAGGACCATATCTTCCCCTGGATGGGTGGATGGATGAATGGAAGATGGATGATGGATGGATGATGAGTGGATGGATGGATGGATGGATGGATAGAAGATGGATGGATGGATGGATGATGGATGGATGGATGAATGGAAGATGGGTGGATGGATGGAAGATGGATGGATGGAGGATGGATAGATGGATGGAAGATAGATGATGGATAGATGATGGGTGGATGGATGGATGAATGGAAGATGGATGGATAGATGGATGGAAGATGGATGGAATGGATGGATGGATGGATGAATGGAAAATGGATAGATGGATGGATGGATGAATGGAAAATGGATGGATGGATGGATGGATGGATGGAAGATGGATAGATGGATGGATGGAAGATGGATGGATGGATGGATGGATGGATGGAAGATGGATAGATGGATGGATGGAAGATGGATGGATGGATGAATGGAAGATAGATGATGGATAGATGATGGGTGGATGGATAGGTGATGGATGGAAGATGGATGGATGGATGGATGATGGATGGATGGAGAGAGGGGGGTGATCACCCATGGGGGCAGGGTGGAGTGGGTGAGAAAAAATAGCCAAATGCTTCCATTTGACTTCTTGCTTTGCTTGTTGAAAGACACTAACTGTGGTAAGAGAGACAGGCAGGGACAAGTGCTCAGACACCGTGGCCTTTGCCAAGCCCCTCATTCACGTCCTGCGGTGCCTGTGGCTGAAACCTTCTGACCAGTGTGAACTGTTGAGAAAGTAATGGGAGGTTTTTTTTAAGTGAATTGTAAACAAAACAGCACAATTCAATCCATTAGAGCAGCGGTTCTCAACCTGTGGGTCGCGACCCCTTTGGTTGTCGAAAGACCCTTTCACAGGGGTCGCCTAAGACCATCCTGCATATCAGATATTTCCATGACGATTCATCACAGTAGCAACATGACAGTTATGAAGTAGCAACGAAAATAATTTTATGGTTGGGTCACAACATGAGGAACTGTATTTAAAGGGCCAGAAGGGTGAGAACCACTGCCTTAGAGCAAAGAGCCCGTCAGGCCGAGGGGCTGTAGGGAGGTCCTCCCTCCCGAGGCCTGCAGGTCGGGAGCCACACTCAGCAGCAGACACATCCCAGGGAAACGCACGGAGCACATGCAGATGGTCCGAGGGAAGCGTGATCCGGGCGTGAGCACTGGAGGACAGTTTACGAATCTGCTGTGGTCCACAAAAATAAACTCATTTGTTTTTCTACATTAATGACTAAGGTGTAAGAGAACAAAAATATAATAATTAAAGGTCGCCTTGGGCGCCCGAGTCATTAGCATCTGTGACGCACTGTTTATCTCCTTCCTGTGCGCTGAAGGTAGGTGTGTGTTTTGCCTAGCAACCATCACTAATGAGGCTCACAATTAAGAAGGTTGAATCCCCGTCCTCCGTCCCCGCTTCCCCAGAGAGCCCGAGCCCGCCACGCGATAGGTTCGAGGAGGCCCCTCAGCCCTCTGGTGTTAGGTTGTCGTCTGGGTCCAAAACCAGCCTCCTCTAATGAGCTATTAGGATCTGAGCAAAGTACAAGTATTTATTTTTGTAAGTAGCGTGAAAAAAAGCATTTGACTGTAAGCAGAAAAATACAGCATTTAGAAAAACAAAGGCCACTCCTGGGCACCTTGGAGGTGAAACCCAGCTCATCAGAAGCTATTTGCAGGAGCAGTTTTGATCAAGATTTTTTTTTTTTAAATGCTTGTTTCTCAATTCTTTTTGAAATCAACATTCGAACCAAGTCCCTTTCTTGCAAGGAGATCGAAATACCCGTTCACCCCAGAGGGCGACTCATCATTTGAAGAGGCAAAGAGGTGCTGGGGGACCAGCCTGTGCAGGTCTTCAAGGAACAGGCCCCAGCAGCCGCGTTTCGGCTTGTGTGTTCGTTTTGGAACGAATGCCCGATCCTCAAGTGCCCCACAGAGCGCGGCCGGCTCCTCTCTCGGATGAAGAGAGACGTGCCCGCGATCCCGTCCCTTCTGGGGAGAGCTGGCACTCAGGGAGTTCATTTTAGGGTCCGGCCACCTCCTTCCCAAAGCCCGGGGACCTCGGTCCGCCTGGCGGGGACGCCGCGCAGGGCGGGGTGCTGGCTCCGCGTCCGCCCCACATGCTTGAAGGAAAAAGTGCCCCGTAAACCGCAGGCTCTGCTTGTGTGCAGCCTCTCCTGGCTAACACCTCATTATCCAATCATCTAATATTCACCAGCCGTGTGTACACACGCGCCGACGGTTTCCAAGCAAACGAATTCCCCCTGCTGTCGCCGTGGACGTCTGCCACGGCGTCCTCCGCGCACAGAAAGCGAGGCCGATTATTTACAGTATTGAACACGGGCGCGGGGAGAGCAGCCGGCTACCTTCCCGCGCGGCCCCGCCGCCGCACGCAGGCTTTCATTTTTTTCCTCCTTGTCACTTGTCCCCTCGTAAACGGCTCCAGCCCTGCTTAAAGCTCCCTGAGCCCTGCCCGGCACCGGCCTGCAGCGCACGGCGATTTGCATGCCAAGCGCCGTAATGCGGTTAGGTTTATGCAATAAGGAGGCCGAATCCAGGCTGTGGGGCTTTCGCGAGCCGAGGGGAACAGATGGCCCTAGGAGAGGTAAAAGGTATAATCCTATCAGCTGGAGTATCAGCCAGCCATCTGGACATCCCAAGCACAATTACAAGACATTTTAGCAGGCAGAACAAAGGAGTCTTCATGAGGCAAGATTAGGCCTGTTTGAGTGCCTCAATATTGTGAATGCAGAGAAAGGTGACGAACGCTGGGGTATTACTCGGGAGAGCTGGCTGATTAACGGGGACCGGGGCGGAGGCTGCGGATGCACAGAATCCTGGATGTGGTAGCGAGACAGCCCCCCGCTCCCCCCCCAAAAAAAAAGGAAGAAAGAAAGAAAGGCAAAATCTGGTCGACCATGGTTCTGGTCGACCATGCCGGTGGGCGTCAAGTTCCCTCACTTTTGTCCTTCAAATCTGGGCACCAGGGCCCCCCCTCCCAGCGAACCAGTCCACGTGGGGGTCTGCGGTGGAAGATGCAGGGGGTCAAGGCCCAAGGGTGCTCTTAGCCAGCGCCTCTTCTGGCGAGCAGGCTGGAGGGTCCTTGGAGTTAAAAACAGGTCACTGTGGCGCATGTCGGATCTGCAGGGAGGCACGGCCCGCCTCCTTCCCGGAGCCTGGCAGCCACAGCGAGAGGAGAGCTCCCAGCCGGGGATGTGTCTTCAGGACCTCTTCCCACAGTGGCCCGGGGGGAGAGAGATGGGGGCCCAGGGGGCTCCCTCCCACCCGGCCTGCTCCCCCCCCCCACCTTCAGCTGCGTGCCAGCTCCCGTCATCTGCTTGAGTGTATTGTGCACGTATATCATTAGATCTCTAACGCTGTCTGTGTAATTCATTTTGCCATGGTTCCCACTGAACACATGTTCCCTCTCTATATGTGCATTGAAATGTATGCAAATAACAGGCAGAAGGAAGATGGCTATCGGCGGGCGGCGAGGAGGCCGGGCCAGGCCGGGGGTCTCCCCGCCTAGCGGCGCCGCGCCTTCCGCGATGCGCCTTCCACTGGGCCGCAGCTGCCAGATAGCCGTCTCCCGTGCGTGCGCGCAGTAGATCCCGGATTTTTTTCTTCTCCTTCTTCTTTTCTCACCTCCAAAGTAAATTTGTTTACTGTAATTTTTTTTGGTGTGAATTATTTGCCATAATTGGCTGTGCTGATGAAGGTCACCCCCTTGGAGGAGACTTGTCAGTCTTTAGAGAGCTGATCCTTTTCAAATGCTCTCCATGCAATTAAGAAAAGCAAATGTCACTCGGAAGCCTCAGAAATGAAAATTTGTATGAACTTATTAGCATGAAGTCAACAGCGCTAGTTAAGGGCGGGCTCCCAGTGTGTGCTCTGCGCTCCCGCTGCAGAGGGAGATGCTGGCGGAATGAGCAAATATAACCCCCGCTAGTCCAACATTAGAGCAAACAAAGGAAGGTGGCATGTCGGCGGGCTGCTCAACAACAATAGCTAATGGTGATTAACTAGACGGTGTCTGCCGATTGCCGCTGTGACCCGGCGGGGAGCCACCACGCGGGCTTCCGGAAAACGCCCGCTTAGGAAGACGTGCGGCCACGTCTGACCCGGAGTCTGAAAAGATGATTTATCTGACGCCGAGCTGCACGGGGGCTCCGGTGAGAGGAGCAGTCGGATCAGGCCCCACCGCGGCCTTGGGGGGCGCCCGTCTACGCACACAGCCCCGGGAGCGAGCAGGCACTCGGCTGCTGGGGGGGGAGCCCTTCTCTGTCTCCCAGGATTAGTGACTGCTTTTTGGACAGATGTCCTCAGAGGTTGTTGGGAGGAAAACACCAAAGCGGGTCCGGTTCCTCCATCCATGGCTCGTCTTGGCACCCACTCCGCCAGGAAGCTGGGAGGTAGAGGGGACAAGCCCAGGGGTGGCCCAGGTCTGGGGCCTCCTCCTCTCTGTGGATGGAGGATGGAGGCCTGGGCCACCTACTCCCTCCGGACCCAGCATCAGGCAGGAGACCTGGCAAGTCCTAGGGGCCGCCTACCACCCACCCCACAGGCCACACAGCTGTTCTTTGGGTACCAGTGGGAGAGAGGGATAGAGGCAGGATGGGCCCAGAGTCCCCAGGACGGCACCAGCCAGTCAGAGAAAGGCCTGCAAGTGACACGTTTGTGCACTGAGCAGGGATGGGCAGCCAGCGTGTCTAAGGAGCCCCTCCTTTGCAGGGGGCCTGCCTACAAAAAGCCATCAAAGGCAGGAGGCAAGGTCTGCCCCTACCTAGCAGAGGGGCTGATCAAAGGCCGGAACAAAGCAACCTCCATGAGGCCACAGCCTTCAGCCGGCCTGGCCTCCACACGGGGCTGCTGGGAGCACCTTGCCGGGCCTCCTGCCTGCCTGCCTCCCCAGGCTGTGGCCTCCTGGCCCCTCTCCCCCCTGCCCTCCCTCTACCACCGGAGCCCTCCCCTCCCTCCAGCAGGGCCGCCTGTGCGCAGGCCAGGCCGGCAGCAGCGCCGTTGTAATAACTCATGCAAATGCGAGGGCTTGGGAGACAAAGAGAGGTCAGGCCCGCGGCTCGGGGATTCCTGTCGACAAACAATATTAGATGTAAAACGTGTACCTTTGACAAAAGTATTAATAGAGCGCTTTTGATTGTTTTTCCCTGATGAAAAGTGAAAAGTAGTAATTGTGGAGTGACAGAGGAAAATGAAGTTTTGAACCAAAAGGCAAAGTTCGCGGATGGAAAAGCCCAACCCAATTAGCCCTCCCGAGGAATGGAAATGCCAGGCACTTGCTCCTCCAGCCCCTCAACAGCCTTTTGATTGACTCTGCTCAGACCCGGACAGCGGAGCAGATGAATCGGTGCGCCGCGTGCGCACGAGGCTTAATCATTTGTAATAGTCGTATTTGCCCTGACACATAATTTGCTATTTTTTTTTTCTGGCTCCCTCGTATTCTGTGGCTTGGCCTTTGCTTTATAAAACATTTAATAGTTTGCTTTAAACACATCAGCATGCTGATCTATGATCGCCCTTCGCCCGGCGCCCGGAGGCATGGCCCGCCTCCCCTCCTGCTGCGCCCGGGCGACTCGAGGTGGGCGAGTGCCGGCGTGCCGGCCGGGCGCTAAGGTCTGCCTTCTCTGTCTTGTGTGAGCAGCCACTCCGTGCATCAAGGCCATCAGTCCCAGTGAAGGCTGGACCACGGGCGGCGCCACCGTGATCATCATCGGGGACAACTTCTTTGACGGCCTACAGGTGGTGTTCGGGACGATGCTCGTGTGGAGCGAGGTGAGCCTGCGCCGCGGGCACTCAGTGGGAGCTTTTCCACGGGGGGCGTGACGGCACAGGCACAGGGCGCCCTATGGCAAATCCCCCTTTCACTGACGCTCCCCGGTGGGTGGGTGCAGAACGCCCCCGCCCAGCCCCGGGGTGCCAGCCCTGTCGTAGGAGGTCCCCCCTACACTGGAACAATCAGTGCCTGCATCGCCAGAAGCAGGTTTCAGGGGACATATGGTGGCAATTTTCATGTGAATGATGCCCTGTGGCCTTTCCTGCCAACGAAAACCCGGGACCATTTGCAGATCTTTTCCTTAAAGAGCTCGAGGCCCCGCCTCCCCCGTGACAGCAAGGAGGGGGCGCTCCCAGACGATGGTCCAATTTTGCTCATTTTGGTAATTACGTCTAACTGGCGGGTGTCCCCTCTCACGAGCAGCGCCCTGAAAGCCTGCTCACCGTGTGGTTTTTGTAGCTGATAACTCCCCACGCCATCCGAGTCCAGACCCCGCCGCGGCACATTCCTGGCGTCGTCGAGGTCACCCTGTCCTACAAGTCCAAGCAGTTCTGTAAAGGCGCTCCAGGGCGGTTTGTCTACACCGGTGAGTTCCCCTTCTCGGCGTTCCTGGCAAAGCGGTAGACGCCCCTTAGGTCGGCACAGGCGGGTGCCGCACGCAGAGGCTGGGGGAGGCCCCTGGGCCAGGGGCAGGGTTTTGTCAGCAGCCGTGTCTGTCCCCGTCCGAGCTGGAGAGACGCCATGGACAGGTGCGGCCCCCCCTGGGCATGTTACCTTGGGCCCCTCCGTTGTGGCCCTCGGCCTTCTCACCTGGAAAGCCAGGCTGGGGCAGGGAGGGGGGGGTTGTCGGTAACAGGTCACCCCAGCTATCATCCTGTGGCTGCCCAAGTGATGTCACCGTTGCTCATTTGCACAAGCTGAGACTCAGAGGTTAAGTCATGTGCCCAGGGCCACACACCCTGTAAACGAGGGGCCTCCGACGCACGCCAGGTCTCTGCTCCAGGCCCGGTCACACACATGCCTTACGTACACTCCTTCTGTGAGGGTTTTAGAGAAACTGCTACCATCAGAAGGGTTGCCTCTGCAGTGACTGTTGGTTATGGGAAAGTTGCTTAGTTGACGGGATTCCTTCGAGCTCGCTGTGGAGAGAAGCCATAAGTAAGCGTAAGCCGTGTTAGGACTCGAGTTCTGTCCTAGCCAAGTGCAAACACTGTCATCTTTGAGAAGTCTATTTAACGATGGGCAGTACCTGCTGAAACCCGGGAGGGTGACATGGACGAGGACTCGTCCCTGAAGAGCTCTGGCCGTGACGTGTGCGAGGGCGGCAGGAGGCCATAGCAGGAGCCTGGGCTCGGGGCTCCCACAAGCTGTCACCAGCGGCAGGACACCCCGGCAGGTCTGGCCTCCCAGCGGATGGAAGGCTGTCCTCTGTCCAGCAGGCAGGTGACGTGGGCTCGAGGTCCCTCCCACTTTGGAGTGTGAAGAGAGTGGGGGTTCCCCACGCACCCTGATTTTAGGAAGGACTGAGTGTGACATGCAGAGTGTAAATGCTTTCAGCGCCCACTTTCAGGAGACCAGGGTCACCCCGGGCCAGCCTGGGCTGCCAGCGACACCTGGGGTCCTTGACGGGGGAGGGTGCCTTCTCTTTGAGCCCCTCAGCACCCCTCCATGTGGTCAGGGTGTGTGTGGGGGTACCTGCCCCACACCAGGGGTCGCTTCCTCCCAGGGGACTAGCACGGCCCCCACCCCCAACCCCCTCTCGAGTCCAGAGCTGCCCAAAACCCAGGACAAGTGCATTGGCAACAAGCTGTGGGTGGTGTGCCGGCCCCTCCTGGTCGGGGTGCTCCTGGAAAGGCCCAGGGCTGGAGGGGCAGCCTGTACAGCTGTGGGGCTCCCGGTGTATGAAAACGTATAGTCATGCAGAGGGCTGTACACTTGGCACTTGGAGAGCACGTGCCGCACTTCAGCAGGAGACTGGGCTGTGGGCGCGGGTCCCGGGGCGGGGAGGGGGGCGTCAGGAGGCCTCCCTGGGCGGTGCCTCTCTCAGCACCTCTGCTTGGCCCGGCCCATGTCCTGTGCGCTGCAGCCACGCCCGCCCCCATGCTCCACGTGCCTCTCCGCTGACTGCTGGCCGGGGGGCCGCACGTCTCTGGGTTTCTGGCCGTGAACTTCAGGCTGCGGAGGCAGCGGGGCCCCCTCTGCTCTGCTTGGTGTTGACCGGGGACCTGGCGCCATGCTCCGACCCGAGTGCCACTTCTGCTCGGCCCCACCCGCGGGTTCGTGAGGGCCAGGGGGCACTTAGGGGCGTGTCCGACCCACGGTGGAGTGGTACCCGGCGAGCAGTGCCTCCTGTGGACAGTTTCCAAGGTACAACTTCTGTCGGGGTCCCGAGTCCCTCAAAGGAAGGGGCGTTTATTATCCACTCAGGAGCCATGTCACGTGTCTGCCATGAGACACATGCTCCTCGGTGGCCGTGGGGCACCAAAGGGAGGGTGGCAAGACCGACCTGCTCTGCACAGACACGGGTGGCGAGACCGCTTGTTCCATTGGACTGTCAGGCCCTCGGGGTTCAGTCCGCCCCGCCCCCGCCCCATGGGCCTCAGTGGGTCCTCGCATCGACCAGACCTTGGCATTCAGATTTCTGCACGTGTGGGCTTTTCAGAGGGAGACAGGCTGGCTGTGAGCGATGGCTACTCTTTTCTGAGGACTCTGATCCCAGCAGGGAGAGCAGGACCCTGGGCTGAGCATCGTAAACAAAGGTGCCTTTGGAAAACGCGCTGGGAGGAGCCGCCTGTCACTGGCCAGTGGGTGTCGCCTGGCGAGGGCCTGCTCCAAGGCCAGTGTGAGGGGTGTGGCTGTCTGAGCAGCTCTCTTTGCCACCTTCTTTTTTAAAAAAATGTTTTTATTGATTTTTTTAGAGAGAGAGAGGGGAAGGGAGAGGGATAGAGAGAGAGAAACATTGATGAGAGAGAAACAACATCAATGGGCTGTCTCCTGCACACCCCCCACAGGGGATGGAGCCCGCAACCCAGCATGTGGCCCGATCGGAACCGAACCAGCGGCCTCTTGGTTCCTGGGTCGATGCTCAACCGCTGAGCTACACCGGCCGGGCTTGGCCACCCTCTGTGCTCTCCAGCTGGCCAGGAACCCTTCCTTGGCCAGCCACCTCCTCGGGGAGTTCTGGGGTGTTTACGCCTCCCTCCCCCCGCCCCATGGGAAGGGGTTTAACCCTGAGTCAGGTCCATCAGCCACCCAGTGGCCCGTCTTCCACTCCCCAGTGGACATGGTGTCCACTCCAAGTGGACTGGGCTTGTTGGGCCCGACGTGCAGGGGCCCGGCTGCCCAAGGCTTCGGGATTTTCTCCACCGAGCGTTCTCCCACGGATGGGCCTTCAATGGAGCCATTCAGTGAGCGGGGCCTTTGCTCGCAGAAGGCTAATTTATGGCCTCCCCCACCCCAATCATTAACGGGAATATGCATTTCAAACGCCGTGTAAGGGATACGGGCCTACACGCCCAGGGAGCGGAGGTGAGCTGGGGTCGTAGCCTGTCTGACCTGGAAGCTGCTGTCTGACTTGCTTGCCCTGAAATTGATGGGGACAAAGAATAATCGCTGGGAACTGCGCCCCTGAAAGCCGAGCCCGCCCTCTGCACCGGGCTCAGGGCAGCCCCTGCAGGGAGGGCACCGTCCCCTGGGCATCTGGCTCCCATCAGCGCCCCCGCCCAGAGGCTGCCGGGACACCCTCGCGGTGAGCCTTCCTGCCAGCAGCCGGCCTCGGATAAGGAACCTGAGCCAAGGAGGAGCCCCGCCCGCGGGGGCGAAGGCCTAAGTGATCTGTTTATGGGGATCTGAGAAACACCAGGTTCCTCAGGCCCAGGCCCCGAGTGGGCGTGGCGCTCCCCGCGGGCCCCGCCCAGGGAAGGGGAGGCGGCCAGGCCCATCCACCAGGCCCCTTCGCCTGCTGCCTACACTAAAGACACAATTACCTGGGGAAGCAGTGGCCGTTCGGTTGATTAGCTGGTGAATTAAAAGAACGAGTCACAAGTGACATGTCCGGCTCCTCCATCCCAGGCCCTCGTATTCCCAGCGAGCCTCACCCCTGTTGTGAGAAGGTCAGAAATGAGAGAGCGGGAGCCATTTCCAAGCGGCTAGCACTTAGGCGCAGAATTAACAATCACTCTGTATGTAATTGCCAGTTAATAGTAAATTGCCTTCTAGACTGTAAAATGCAGTATAAACGCCGGGCACCTAAAATTAAATTAATGAGATATTCGCTGCATTTAAAAGTGAAGAGTGCAAATTGATACCTGAGTGCCACGCTTGTTTTAATATTTGTCTAATCGCGTCTCGTCTGCTTGTTTAATAATAATTACCGAGATCCCGGAACAGCCTACCTGAGATGCTCACGCACGCTAGCCGGGCAGACTGACCCATCTCCTGCCCCTCGCTTCTCCAGCAGAAACCCATCCGATGGGCAGGGGCCACAGAATTCTTCTTTAAGTAGAAGAGAAGCGTTGCGGTGTTATTTGATGAAAAATTGGAATTTGCTTCGAACTGAAGCTATGTGAGGGTGGACGCTACCTTTGCAGACATGTGTCCAGGTGTGGGTGTCCGTGCACGAGTGTGCGTGTGACTTGAGGCGTCCGTTTGGCGGGAGGGGTTCCTGTCACACAGAAGCAGTGAAGCTCATGGGTGGTGGCGTCCCTTCCAGGGGGTTCTCCAGGACGCCAGGGCCACTCATGGGGGCTCCTGCTCTTGAACTCTCGGACCCAATGTTTGGCGGACCCACTCTCATTTTAGCGATTTCTTTTGCTCAATTAAAGAAATTATCACAAATTACCAACTGGCCAGGCCCAGTCGCGAAGGGAGACGCTGGCGGCCGCTGGTAAACGCGTCCAGGGCGGGCACAGACGAAGCTTGTCTGCAATTTATTTCCTGGACGGGGACATACACATGATTATTTTCCGCACCAAGACGTGCATTCGATTGCAAGCGTGTGAAATCGTTACTCAGCCAGTAATTGCTAACAGTTTGTGTGCTTTCTGATACAGTATTTACATTTCCTGCTTTTTTGATTTAAAAGAGTCAGCTTGTGCCTTAAACGGGCGACACGTCAGGCCCCCGGGTGCTGTCCCGGCAGCGCGGGTGGCAGTTTCCTTCCCTGCCCGTGCCGCGGCCTCCGGCGGGCTCCACCGTTTAACCCCCACTTCACTCGCCCCTTGAAGGGTGCTCGTAGTCTGAAGTGTCTTGAAGATCTTTGTGCGCATTGAGATGGGATTCTGTCAACAGCGGGGGACGCACTGCAGTCAATAGCGCCCGCGACCACGGCCAGCCAGGGGCTGTCGCCCCGGCCAGCGCCCTGCAAACGAATCGCTGTCTCCACACAGCAGCCAGCCAACTGCTGCCCCGAGACCAGATACTCTGACTGTGCCCCCCCCCACCCCCGCCCGGGCTGAGCCCTCCCTTCGGTGAAACCCCGGGTCAGTCCACATTCCCAGCCCCTCTGGGGACACGGTGGGGAAACCGGTATTTTAATCATGGGTCCTGGAGTTGGGGACACTTCCAGCCAATTCAGTCGGTTACTCC